CCAGGCCTCCTGCGCGCCGGTTCCCAGCACCCCCGATGGCTGCCCGCGGGACCAAGCCCCCCGATGCCTGCGCGCCTACGCGGGCCTCGTGGGTAAGCGCCTCCGGGATCCGGACGGGGCCGGGGCTCTCCCGGGCTGCCTGCGCCCGGGTGGACCCCTTACCCCTCCCTCGGGGTCCCGCAGGCACCGCCGTTACCCCCAACTACGTTGACAACGTGAGTGCGCGCGTGGCGCCCTGGTGCCACTGTGGAGTCAGCGGAAACCGGAGGGAAGAGTGCGAAGCTTTCCGGGGGCTCTTCACAAGGAACCACTGCTTGGGTGAGAGGCTCGGGCGCGGCGGGGCGGTGCCAGGCGGCGCGGGAGTCGGGTCTGCGCTTACTGCTGACCGCCCCTATCAAGCTGCCTGGCCGGCGAGAGCCCATTTTGAGGCAGCCAGGTAGGCCCTCTGCTGTCGTCCTGCCCCTTTGGGAATCTGTGCCCACCTGTCTCCGGAGACCAGGTGACAGACTAAAGTAGAATCCTGGGAGTGTTTAAGCTGGCGCCCCTGCGTGCGGGAGGGGGAGTCAGTTAAAACAAATTTCCGAGGACCTGGAATGGAACTAGGCGAAATTCCTGCTTCTGCCACTGTTGAGGTGTTTGCATCCCTGACGCACTGCCAGCTCCGCCCCCTGATGATCTCGGCATAAGGGTCTGAATAGCTTGGTGGTCCCCTGCCCAATCTAGGAGTTAAAGGGCCTGAGTTTGAAGCCCAATTCTGCCACTCACTAGCTGAGAGTTAACTCCTCTAAGCCTTTTTGTGTCCATCTGTGAAATGGGGATGATAATAGTCACTCTCCCCTGTGAGGATGGAGGACTGTAAGGTTAAAAACTCAGCATAGTTTGTCCTTATTTTGTTATTCCGTGCCCTGTACCTGCCATTCCAGAAGCCAATCCTTGCAGACATTCTGTCTTCCTGTCCCTGCATGGAAAGAGACTATGTAGGATGCCAGGAGTCTCTCAATTTGTCCCTGAGGATCTGGGCCCTGTGCTGAGGTTTCCCAGACAAACCCCCTGGACACCTCTCTCTATAGATGATGCCATACAGGCCTTTGACAGCGTGTGGCCTCTAGTCCTGCAGGATCAGCCGAACTCCCTCCAGGACCTTGAGCACAGCCTCTTGCAGGTAGGTGCAAGTAGGTGCAGGTAGGGGATGGTGAGCTGGCAGCCCTTGCACTGCCTCCTTCCACCCGTCCATGCCAGGTGGGCCTAGATGGACATGAATGACCTGGCATGGGAGTGGAGGCAGAGAGCAGAGCCAGGCTTCTGACTCAGGTACACACTCTGCTCTCATCCCTCAAGGTGTCCTCAGCAGACAGGCCCCTGGAGAGGTGCTCCCTGCTCACCTTGCTCCTTGTCCTGGCTCTCCAGCCTCAGCTCTGACTAGGACAGCAGACCTTGGACAACACATCCAACTGTCCCACACTGCCTGGGGTACACAGCCACCTCTGCGGCCTATGCTCCACTGTAAAGAGACTGGCTTATCTCCAGTGCTCTTGCCTTGCTGCCTTTTGCAGATCTGGACACCCTGTGTGCCTGTCCCCTAGAACGAGGCATATAGGCTGGGGGCCTGACTGCAAAGGCTATGGTTTCCCTTACAGTAGGCTTATTGGTTGTAAAGTCTCTTTGTCCACAGACCTTGGAAGAGTTGGAATCTCCCACAGGCTAGGGATGGGAGGGTGTCACCTGTGTAGCTGAGGCCTCACCGGAGCCCCAGATCACCTAGAGAAAGTCAGAGACAATCCAAATTCCCAGAATTCTAGGAGATTTTTATCAGCACCCACCCCCCACCCAAGCAAATCATGCCTTAAGGAGTATATCTATATCTGTACAGACTTGTAGGCAAAACCCCCTCTAACACTATAGCCAAAGGTACCCTCCCAGTTAGTCACCACCCATGATGATAGTCACCTGCACCCCATAACATGTTGGCAGAATGCTTCCTGTCCACGATATGTCGCTTGGTGGGCACCACCTGGAGTAAGTGAGAATCCAGTTCTCTGCATTGCACTGACCATATGACCATCTTCCCCATGCTTTAACCTAGCACTAGGAATGGCATTCACAGTTCAATAAATCCATGTGCACTGAGACTGGCCTTGTTTTCACATGACCTGTGTCTTGGAGCCCACGGTCAGCTAACAGGATGTGCCTCTGCTGGCCTGTGTGACACTGGATGGCCTCAGAACCTCTCAACTCTGTCTTCTTACCTACAGATGCTAAACAGAATCAACTATTAGGTCCTAGTGGCAGGGATTTTCGTTGCAATTGTTTATTCTTTCCTTCTCTGTTAGTACTCAGATAAAGAAACTACACTTCCCGGCTTCCCTTGCAGCTAGGGGTGGTATATGACACAGTTCTGACCAATGAGAGGAATTCACAGATGAGGCTTCCAGGAGAGCTCTTTAAACAGGAACAGACTTGCTGACTGGCCCCCGCTGCCTCTAGCCTCAACCCTTCCCTCTTCTTGCCCAGACCTTGGTGGCAATGCCTGGGGACACAGGCACCATCTTGAAAATGGACCCACGGTACTAGCCCCAGTCCTCCTCTCTTTGAACTCTTTATTATATGAGAAAAGTGATGCTCTAATTTGTTTAAGGTAATTTCTCTTCAGGTGTCTGTTATTTGCAGCCAAACATAGGCCCTGAGTGATACACTGCCACCCCTGGGGTGCCTGGGAGTCCCAGGATCACCCACTATACTCCCCTAGTGGAGCCCCACCTCAGCGCCCGGCCCTGACAGACACTTGAAAGAAGGGGCAGCAGTGATTGTTTTTTTATTCCTGCATTTTCTATTTGCTTCTGTTCATGTGGAGAGTCAAATTCTTTCCTGGAGCCAAGAGAAATTCGTCATAAAGGTTTTTATGAACACTCCATGTGCGTAGCCGGTGTGGACCCAGCAAATGCCAAGGGCGTTGTGTTAAACTACAGTTCTTCAAAGAGGTTTGGGGAGGAGAGGGCAGAACAGTGGGAGCCAGGTATAAGCCTTCTGCCCGCTTCTTTCTTCCTCAAAAGCTTGGAGACTCCTGATGAGTGAAGGATTCCTATGTCTCCAGGCTGTTCCTTCTCAAACCTGGTTGCGGTTTGTTAGGGGCCACGAAGCCGGTGGAAGTGGAGGCTGTTGATGCCTTGCGCAAAGACCTCTCTGGGCCAGTGTAAACCATCCTCAAGCTTCTGGGAATGTTGGCTGCAAACACAGTTCACAGCTGCCCCCTTCTCTAGAAGAAATGCCTGTAAGGTTACACTCTGCTCCCTAACATGGACTGCAGCTAATAACTGACTGAGGTGGACTATAAAGGCCTAGCTTGCTTCCCTCAGGGGACACAATTCTGTGTTCCAGTCTTGCTCCAGAGCTCTGTGCCTGATCCCGGTTGAGACCACATCTTAGTTCCTTCCCCTGCCCTCTCCTGCCTCCCTCACTTAGATATTCCTCCGAGGGTACTGCCTCCAATAAATCAGAGCCTAAGAATCCCTATCTTGGGCTTGGCTTCTGGAGAACTTGACCTATGACACGGGGGTTAGATACAGACACACCAAATCCGAGGCCTGGGGCTATTCTAACCAGAAAAAGAGCCACCGTCTCAGATTGTGTCCTTAGCAAATCATACCAAACCCACAGACACTGTGTGTAGCAGCTGGCAAACAGCCTCCCAGCTTCGGCCAGTATTCTCCTGATTGAAACCAAACACAAATCAAAAAGGCCTGGGCATGTGACTGAGCAATCCAAGCTTCAGGCACAGCTGTCTCCAGGGGTTCAAATGATGTTGTCCCCTCTGGTCTATGCATGGCTTCTGTCTGAGGTTAGGCAGGCTCTCACCGCAGGGTCGGTCAGAATGCCGGCAGCAGCCCTGGATCAGTGATCTCTCCTCCTACCATTCTCAGCAGAAACAGGCCCCTCTCTTTCCTAGCATTCTTGGACTTCCAGTGGCCTGAGGAGTGACATCAGCACCCCCAAGATCACATGGAATGGGCAGGTCCTTTTCCAATGGAAAAATGGAGGGGTGTTGGGCATAGTTCAAACTGTTCTCACTTCCTGTAGAAGGAATGCTCTCAGCCTCTTACACCTGCACAGGAATGGACACCTGTAAGTGGGCAGGGGAGAGAAGGTGTGTGTGTGTATATGGAGCAGGGAGGTTGGGCGCGAGACGGGGAAGCGAAAGCATCGCCTTGCCCTGTTCACCATGATGGCATAGTGGGCCAAACGCAGAATTAAATACCTGCTAAATAATTTGCCTCTGTGAGTGTGTGAAACTCTTTTACTCCACTTTTCATTTAAATAATTAGAGTAAAATATAGGCATATACCTTTCAAAAGATGGGGAAGATAAAAGTGAGCAGATCCTTGTTGAAAGTAGCACAGTTGTTCCATGGCTGCTGGCTGTCTACCTCCAGTACTTCTCTCCAAGCAGGCAAACTCAGGGTTTTTACCAAATGGAGCCTTTTTAACATCAAACATTGTGCACCAGAAAAGAGGCTTCCTTATTGGATGTAGGGGGGGAAATGGAAGGTCACAGGGTCTCTGTTCCCTGGCTCTCTGTTTATCCCCAGAGTTAGCATTTCATGTGGGAGGCCTAAGGCCATCCAGGGCGTGGAGCCAGCCAGCTCTGCAGAGAGAAGCCAAGAGGAGCGACAAGGCATTGAGGCCCGCAGAGGCCACCATCTTGCCACTCCTGGGCCAGATGACTTTCTGAGGGTTTTGCTGCTGTCGTGGGTCGGTGGCCCCAAAGATACGTCCACATCATAATCTGTGGAACCTGTGAATGTTATCTTTTATGAAGGCAAAAGAGTGAATATTACCTTATATGGCAAAAGATGTGATTAAGTTAAGGATCTTGAGAGGAAGCACTTGTCCGGGGTTATTCAGGTGGGCCCTCACTGCAGTCACATGCATCCTTATATGAGAGAGGCAGAGGGAGATGAGACACAGGGAGAGGTGGGAGTGATGCAGCCACAGCCAAGGAATGCCAGCAGCCACCAGATGCTAGAAGGGGCCAGGAACAGTCTTCCCCAGAACCTCTGGAGGGAGTATAGCCCTGCGACACCATGATTCTGGGCTTCTGGCCTCTGGAACTGTGAGAATAAATTTCTGTTGTTTAAAGCCACCAAGGTTGGGTAATTTGTTACAGCAGCCCAGGGAAAATGATGAAGTTGTCTAAGGTTGTCAGAATTTCGTTTCTCTTACTTCTACCTAAAAAGGTCCTGGTTCATAGTGTTAAGTCTGACCAAACACCTCAAGACCAAGTCTAGCGGTGGCCCCCACAACCAGGAAGGGGTCCTGCCTTTCTTGTTCGCCTTTGAGTGTCAGCCTCCATGTCCTGCTGGATAGTCTGCTTACTGTCACTCTCTCACGTGCACTCTGGGAGACTGGTCCTGACCCTTGCGTCATCCCTGTGAGCTGTTTTAAATACTGAGCTTATAACTGGCAGGTGGTTGGGTGTGGGGAGGAGGGGTAAGGCAGAAAGGCAGGTGTTGGAAGCTTCTGTGGATTTATTGGTGGAAACTTCACGGCTCATGAATGTTCACTCTGGCTTCGAGCCTGCTCTCTAGGGTACAAGGTTGACGTGGAAACTGCTCACTGCCCACCTGCCCACTGCCCTTCCCCAACTGGATCAGTTGGGGCCAAACTCATAGAACTGGCTCAATCTTACAGGAAGTGTGGACACTGGCTGTGAAATTTCCAGAGAAGCAGGAGGACAGGGTCTATGCAGGGCTTTAGGAGACATTCCCCAGCCGGACAGCAACTTGTCAGTGAGTCTTGCAAGCATGTGAAGGGAGGCAGGGACACGGCCCTGCCTCACTGGGCTGCAGGCCTGGGAAGTCCTGGGTGGAAGGATGTCTCGGGAAGCTGCTCTGCCAGGGACATGTCACCCTACATCCAAAGAGCCTCCAGCCCAAGGCAGAAGATGGAGAGGAAAGTTAAGATGAGTATACACACAGGAGAACAAAATACAGAAACAACTTCACAAACTGAGCCCTCAAGGAGCCGGGATTAAGCAAATGAAGAGGAAAGTCCTACAGGGGTGCAAATGGGCCAACCACCAGGGCTGATCCCCAGCTCCCTGTGCAGCACGATTCATAGTGGGATCATCTGGTCTAGTCCCTTGAGTTGGGGACACAGGATGAAAGAAAATTCTTGCCAGGCATGTTACACAGCTAGTAATGCAGGGTTTGTCCATTCGGATGTCACCCACACAGGTATGTGGGGTTGGGGACTTAGTTACCAGGAATGACATTGTCGTTAGTGACAGAATTTTCCAAAATGATGACCAGCTCTTGGTAAAGTTATGAAGAAAACAAAGTTCTGTCTTCCCTTGGTTTACATAATAGTTGCATTTCTGGAAAACTGACTATATATTAAAGCAGCTCTCAAATACGTTGGGTTTAT